AGGGCAACTGTAAGTATGAGGCCTGTATGGACTACAAAGAGAGAGAGAGAGAGAGAGAGAGAGAGAGAGAGAGAGAGAGAGAGAGAGAGGGAGGGAGGAAAAAAGGCCTAGCAATAGAAAGGAAGAAAGGAAGAGAGGGAGAGAGGAAGAAGGAAAAATAGGAAGGAAAGAAGCAGGAAGGAGCTAGTTATAGCTTCTTTAAAATTAAAATCTTAATAGATTGGAGAACTTGGTATAAATTCTAAAGACTGTTGAAAAAGATACATCCCTAAATAATTCTAAGACTCTGAGTTTAGCAATGAAGTTGTTTTATTGTCACTAGAATCATCACCTTGCCCCATAAACATTTCTATCACCAACACACATCTTACAAGAGTGAAGAAGTGATGAAACATCACTTTATCACTTTGGAGATTGCATTGTAATAGTCACTGCAGCTTCTTTCAGTCATAAAGTGAAAAACAGAGTCCTCATAGCAGTTGGCTGATTCACCAGCAATATACTTCTAATAAAGAGACACCTTATCACCACCTTGAAGTTCAGAGTACTTAGAAAGAACCTTTGATACTGAAGTCAAAGACGTTTCAAAACAAATTTCCAAAAATATCACCAACAGAGAAACTCTGAGTACTGTGGTTATAAAGAAGATGCTAGCATGTTTGTAGCCCAATGCCATGAAGACAGTGATAGTGGCCTTCGGGGAGGGGGACCCTGATATTCTCTGGCCAGCCAGTCTAGCCTATTCCATGTCCAAGGGTAAGAGAGCCTGTCTAAAGCAAGATAGACTGTTCCTGAGAAACAACACTTGAGATGGGCCTCTGAGCTCCACATGTACACACAGCACTGCTCATTTCAAATCAGTCTCAGCTCCACTTTAAAAACAAACTGAGAAATGACACAATTTGTTTTGAAAAGAGAAAGTTTACTGTAGAGATTATTAAACCTAAGAGCTAATAGGGGTTGGTTAGTAATGTGCTGGAGAGATGGCTCGGTGCTTGCTGCTCTTGCAGAGGACTAGAGTTCAATTCCCAGCACTCACATCAGGTGGCTCACAGTCATATGTAAACCCAGCTCCAGAGCCTTCTGAGGGCATCCACAGATCTGTGTGCACATGCTTGAACATAAACACACACACACACAATTTTTAAAAGCTTAAAAAGAAAAAGAATAGAGAACCTAAAAGAATGAGGACAAGCAGAAGTAAGGAGGAGCCACCACCCTTTGGCCTGAATAGAATCTCAGGATGAGACCCTGGCCTTGCTGGAGAGTGGGCACCGGTAATGTTCAAGTGAGGCTTGCCAGGCACCAGAAGAATCCCTGAGATTTTGTGGAACTTTCTAGACATATTGTGTGTGTGTGTGTGTGTGTGTGTGTGTGTGTGTTGTCGGCTACATGGGAATTACAAATTGTTTCCTTCCAAGTGTGTTTACCACTCTACTCAAGCATCCCTCTAAGTTTCAATATTTGTAACTGATAAAATGTTAAAATTCTCTGAAGAATATACTTTCTTATGGTGGTCAGAGGAGTCAAGGAGCCAATGTGTGACGGGGGATGTCCTTCTATATATACATTTCTCTTATTGGTTGGTGAATAAAACACTGATTGGCCAGGAAAGGTAGGAAGATAGGCGGGGCTAGGAGAAGGCTGGGGAGAGAGAGACATTCAGCTGTCAAAGGAGTAACAGGTCTGGGCATGGTCTGGGCATCTTCCAGTAAGCCAAGACCACGTGAAAATACATAGATTAATAATTATGGGTTAATAATTAGGAGAGAAGTAACCTGTAAGAAGCCTAGCCATTGGCCAACAATTTTATAATTACTATAACGTCTGTGTACTTATTTGGGGCTAAAGCGGCTCTGGGACCTGGTGGGACAAGAATCTCCATCTACAAATATGTGTGAAATCCTTTAAACAGAGTCTGTTCCATATTAATCACCACAGAAAGGTCGCTGTTGTGGCCTCTACAAGCAACAGCTGCTTATGTTCACCCTACACTGGAAAGCTGATTGCAGGGAAAACCTAGTGAGTTAATAACTATGTGAAAGTACGCTGGTCTTTTAAATACTAGAAGACTTCTCAGGGTGGCTGTTTTTATTGCTACCATAACAATTTGCAAATTCATTGGATTAGTCACCTCAGGCTGTTAGGACAAAACGCCATGAACTGGATGGTTTGAACAATGGGAATTTAAGCTGTTATAGACCTGGAGGCTGGGAACTCCAGGGTTAAAGTCTGGCCTGGTTCCGTTTTTGGTGATTATCTGCTTCTAGTTTACTGTGAGCTCACAAGACACAGAGATGGTGTGGTGAGAAAGGAAGAGGGGAAGAGGGACCAGTTGAGTGAATTCTGGCTCCTCTTTCTCCTTCTCTTTTTCAGACACTAATACTGTTGGGGGGGTCGCTTTTGTACCTTACCCAAAGGTAATTATATTCAACAAGCTCCAACTCCAAATACTGTCATGTGAAATATTAATATTTAAACATAAACTTCAGGGATACAAACATTCAGTTGATATCATCCAATAACCACGTATCTGAACACATTTTTCCCTAGTTTCTAATCCTATTTTATCAAATTTTTGAAAATGTATAATTTGGAACATTTACAAAAACTGCCTCACGGTGTTAAATTTGTATCTTATTATAATTTTATTTTTATGAATCCACTTGTATTCTTTGTAATATTTTCCTTTCCTGAATAGCTACAGAACTATTACTGTATATTCTCCACCCACCCTTGGGATCCTTTATTCAAGAAGTCAGTTCTTTGTCATACATTACATTATTCTCTTAACATTTTTCTTTTGAGAGTTTTAAACTGAAAAGATATTTTTCATTTTCATTTGGTAGGGTGTATTAATCTTTATAATCATAAGTTGTGGTTTTCTGTAGTATAGGCAGAGATTATTTTTAATTCTACAAGAATTCACTTTTCTTATTAATATACCTCCCCCATTCCTCCCTTCTTTTACCTCCATTCTTCCCTCCAGATGGGAATTAAGCCAGGGCCTTGCACACGGTAAGCAAATGTTCTACTATTAAGTTACATTCCAGATCTTGCTTGATGTAGTTCAGGCTGGCCTTGAACTCATTACGTAGCCCAGGCTGGCTTCTAACTCATAACCTGCCTACATTCACCACAATACCTGGCTGCTTCTCAGCTCACCTCCTGTCTCCAGTTCCCAGCAGTTACGCTGCTTCTTGTGAGACTGATTTGAAGGACCCGAGTCTTCCCGGGTTACTGGAGCAGGAGTTAAGCCTTGTGAATGCATTGTAAAGCACTGTTAAGTTGCTGTTAATGTTAACAATATGTCTCATTATAAGTACTTCTTATAATATTCATTTTTTTCTTTCAAATAAGCCAAGGTATTGAGGGCAGGGCCACTTGACTTCCTAACGAACAGTTTTTAGATTCTTCTGTGGTACCCTGGTTGCCCTGGTAGAAAGACTATCTGCCCTATGGCCAGCAACCCTCCCCTTATGCCAGCCCTGCTGCTTTGAACACCCCAAAGACCACTTAAGAAAGTAACGTGGCAACCACAGCTGCCAGCCCTGCTGCTTTGAACACCCCAAAGACCACTTAAGAAAGTAACGTGGCAACCACAGCTGTCAGGTGCTCAAACATAAGCCTAGCAGTTCCCTAGACTGTTTCAGAAGCCTTTCACTCACCAGAGGGGGAGTGACGCCCACTGCACATGACCACGAAAAGATCTGTGGTTGGCTCCTACAATCCCGCACTTGCATAAGCCCCTCCCAAGGATGCAAGTGTGGTTCTTTTGGAGGAAGCATCCTTTGAAGGATGGGGTAGACTCCTTTGCTGTACCTTGTTCTGTCTACATTAGCAGACCATGTGGTTCACTCACAGCTGGGAGACATCATCCTGATGTGGCAACATGAGGACCCAGCCCAAGGAAGAACTTCTCTCAAGTGGTCTATTCTTACCTGTTTGATCTTCACCATTTTAGAGCTGGGTGAGTTGGTAACAGGAAGAAAGGGGGAGATGACAAGAGGGTTTGAGGATGCCAGCTGCAGCTGTGGAGCAGAACTGCTTACAGCAGAGACGGCAAAGGCAGGTGGAGGGGCAGAGGCGGCAGAGATGCTGAGAGCCCTGACGAGTTGAAGACAAGAAAATGAGGTCATTGAGAGAGTTCCAGAGAGCTACCAAAGGGTTTTAGATAGCACAGGCTTACTAGCCGAAAAACAGTCTCTATCAACGGCTCAGTTCCTAAACGATACAGCACCCTTCACTGTAGGACTGAGGGCGCCAGTGCCTGAGGCCTGTACGAGAGTTACAACAGCAGAAGGTGCTGCTGGCTGTGTTGTGCCCACTGCTGCCAGAAGCTGGGGAGGATAGTAGCTGCCAAGTGCTAAAACCACTAGAATAATCCCAGGGCAGTAAGCCTCTAGCCTGAGAATGTGTTGAGTCATAAGTAGCTGACTTTGATGAAGGCAGTAGGTCAAAAGCTGTGCTCTGTATAACATTAGTTCTATTAGACACGGGTGTGGTAGAAAATGGCTACATAGGAGACAAGATGTCACCCCATCCTTTGAAGGCTAAAATACATCCGAGACCATAAAAGATGACAATGCCATTAGTGAGCTTGTCAGAGGGGTGACATGATGGCTTGGCAGGGAAAGATATGCCACTGTGCTTGGCAACTTGAATTCTACCCTTGGAATCAACATGCTAGAAGGAAAGAACACACTCCTGAAAGCTGTTCTTTGACCTCAACAACTCTACCGCACAGACTTCAGCACATAAATAGATAAACATATAAATGTAAATTTCAAAATGGCACAGACAGTATCAGGATCCTCCGTGTATCAGGGAAGATATATGTGACTCCAGATGAACTCCAAGTATAGGTAAGATTCAATGAACTTGATCTGCTTATCAATTAAATAATAAAACAAAGTTAAACATTAAATGGTTGAGCCAATAAAATCCTCCCATTGCTAAGACAAGTGCTAAAGGTTCTGAGTAATCATTTACTCCTAAGGGTTAGACAACTGCACAAAGTTGAGAAACTGATAATGACCGGAACCAGAACCATGCACTCTACCTTCCTCAGGTTTGCTTTCAAGTTCTTGCTGTTTCTGTTGATGTGGGAATGGGCCTTTTTCTGTTGAGATTGCAGGTGGTGAGCAAGACTGTGTTTCTCTTGGGAGATGGTTCTGAAAAGTGAGACAGGATGCTGCCTTTCCTAAAACAAATGAAGTCCCTGGGAACTCCAGAAGAAGAGGGAGGGGGAGAAACAGAAAGTTGGGGGTGGAGGAAAAGGGGGTAGAGCGAGAGAGAATATTGTCTGAAGCGACTAGATATAAACAGCAATTGTCAACTCAGGGTTTACATTTCTAAGAGTTACTGAAGCTAGAAAATGAAACATAGCCCTCGTGCATTTAACTTGCTTTTGTGAGATACACTAACTTAAAGAAACAGCATTAGCCAACAGATTGAGGCAATAAAGGCTGATATCTTAAAGAATATTTTTAACGATCTTCAAAGATCAACTTAACCTAAGCAGAGTAAACCCAGAGAATTTACATGAGGAAATGGAGGGACAAAACAAATAAAACTCCATATGGCTTCATGCAGTGGCTCAGAGCCTAGGCAGGAAGACTTTTGGGGAGCTGTGGATGACATTAAACAGTTGCTGTCTTTTGGGAAAACTTCACCGCTTCCATATCTCCACCCCTCCATTGGACACACTCACTCTCATGTCAAGCCACCCACCTTGAGCCTCCAATAGCTACTGCTTTGTCTTTCTCATCTCTCTAGCATGTCTAGTTTGTTTCCAAACGCACGCTGAATGTGAGCTTTTTCGAAGAAGGCAGCTCAGCCCAGGCACCATCTATTGCACACAGGGTGGGAACAGTTGCCTCCCAAGCCTCCTGGTCTTCCTGCATGCATTACACACTGGCTAACAACATTCCAGCCCCTGGCCAGGCCTATGGGACCCTGGCCTATGCTGTGGGGCCTGCCTGCTGCTTTGATTTCAGCTCCCAACTTGACTCTCCAGTCTCACCCTGTGCTTGCTATGTCAGACTGTCCTCTGCCTTCAAAAGCAAGCCAAAGCCACTTCCTTTTTCTTTTGCTGCCATGCTCATGTGCAGCTTGACTTACCTCTCAGTTCAGAGACAGCCACTGGGTACCAGCAGACTAGGTGGTTAGACTAAGCAAAGCAGATGCCCTGACAGTGTTGGCCCCTTAGTCATTATCTCCATACTTTCCCGCTTCCTCCCCAGCTATGCCATCCTTGCTTTTATTATTATTATTATTATTATTATTATTATTATTATTATTATTATATTAGACCCTTTCACTCACCAGGGCATGTGTCCTGCATGTTTTCCATAGGCTTGTCTCTCTGCCTCCATCAGCCTTGTCCCACCCTTATCCTTTAACTGGCAAGCTCCACTTATCTCACAAACTCAAGAAAGTCCATTTTCAGGCATAACATGCTTCTGGTGAAGTATACTTGGAAAGCAGTTATTGAGAACCAAGACCTTTAGTCATGCTGAAGAAAGCCACAGAAGCAGAGCATTCCATTTATTCCACAGATGTTTACTGAATCGATGAATGGGCCAGCGGTCAGTGAGCTCTGCAGCATTGCTTCACTGGGAGGGCCTGTAAAGCTACAGAGGAAAATGCTGCCCTGAACTCTGTCTTCAGTTCCGTGAGTGGTAGACACTTCTGTTCAACCACTCTCCCGAAGGTGTGAACAAGAGTCTGCACCTCAATTTAGCTTTTCCAGCAGAATCCTCAGGCTTGACCCACTTGATTCTGCCATTCAGTGTTGGTTTGGATTTAAGCTGTCCGTTAGTTTATTTCTGAATTCTGATGCAGGTTGGCAGGCTCCTCAGTCTAACTGCAGATGGTGTAAGTCAGAGTCTTGTCTGTGACTGTTCACTTTTAGCTATAGTAGTGAAATTAGGTGACGTTTGCACTGACGTTGAAACACAGGATCATCCCAAACCCAGCACATGCTGCATAACTTCTTTAATGTAATGATTTTATATTCCCTAGAAAGCAGGTGAAGAATGGCTTTGCCTCACCAGAAACCTCATCCTCCCTTACTTTTCCTTATTTTGGCTTGGCCCTCCAATTTCTGTGTTCATTTTCAGGTAGTAAGAAGTCTATTTCAGACTCCAGATAATCCTGATCTCATAGACAATAGACCTACCACAACAGAGAGCACAAAGTTCCAAACTTTGTCTAAAGTAAAACTTCCCAATTTCAGGCTGTACCCTGGAGGGAAGGGACTGTTTGGATAGCCTCAAGTTCCCATTCTTTGTCAGCCACTCCCCTCTCCTCTTATCCTGGCTGAAGCATCTAACTCTTCCAGGGCTGGGCTAGGACAATTGAGGCAGATAAGAGACAGGCAGTGCCTTTTTGGACGGGGTGGACAGCCCATGCTTCATCTTTAGAACACCTCACTGGGGACTTCAGTGGTTCTTTTCCTGTCAGGGGTGATTTTTGCCTTCTGGTTCTTTCCTCAGCTGTTGAGCAATTTTTAGTCCACTTCTGTTGTGGTCACAGAACACCTTCTATGTTGTGTGCTTGGGCAGACGTTAGAAAGCTGTGACTTTGATTTCTCTCAAGTCATCACATCTGGTTGACAAAGGATGTGTGTGTCTGTGCCCCAGGCACAGAAGACATCACACACTTTCGGCGTGGGGTGGGTGATTTCTCCTCTATGAAACACACACCCACAGTTACAGATTGCGCCCTCTGAATTCAAAAGCATATGAATTCACCAATCCCATTCTCTCTGTCTCTCTGCCTTTCTGCCTCTGCCCCTTCCCCAACAAACTTTATTGGGCATATGTGTAGCCCTGTAAATGTTCCCTAGCAAGTAGCCACAATGAGTTGGCCCTGTCAATCTTCCTCTTTTGTAAAATCTGGGTGAATAAGATATTCCTTCTGCTTTGTCCATCTCAGCTGGTTTGTGCCTCTGAGTTTGGTTCAGTAGCCTCTTTCTTCTGAGACCTCTGAGGTGGTCCCTTCCAAGTTCAGGTGGGAGGGTCAGCATGTACTGTTTTCTTCTCGGCAGATGGCAGACAACAGTCCCATTGCATACACAGGGAGACACACAGACACATGCAACACATATACACATGAGGATATCAGAATGAAGAATTTCTTTGTCCTATAGGTTGTAATCAGACGTTTTTTGTGTGTGGTGAATATTTGTTGTTTTTGCTTTATATATATATAGTGTGTGTGCATTCCTTTCAGGGCTGAACATTCTGCAGTGTCTTATTTTCCATACCTTTATCAGTTGTGTCTCTCTGTTTTGCTGCAAATAGAGGCTTCTTTGAATAGGATATGAGATGTATTAATTTATTTGTATATTAAACCATTAGGAATTGGTTTAGTAATATGCCCATTCAACAGAAGAATAGCAGTAGAGTATATGGCCTGTCTAGTCATAACCACAAGTTCTTGACTGGTGAATGGTGTCAGGAATGAATTTCTTCTTGTGGAGTTGGCCTTAAATACCAGCAGAATGAGGTTCGTTATACTCATGATGTTTATGCCACTATTGTTCTAATGGGCATGTGTGATGTGACTTGAATAAGACCCCATAGTCTCAGTCTTTTGAAATCTTGATCCCCAATTGGGGCACTGTTGGGTAGTGCCCATGTGGCTTGGTTCTGCAATCTTGACTAAAGACAGTAAGGGAATGAAAAAATGACACCATACAGAAAAGCTAGGGTCGAGTAGGGTGTGTGTCCTCTGATGGAGCTGTACCTACTTTTCCTACAACCCAGAACTTTAGTGTGTTTATTATGTACAGCACAAGGAGAAGAAGTTAGCTAGCTAGTCTTGGTAGGAGGTCTTTGTAGACAAGGAGTCTGAGGCTGTAAAGATCCAGGAGGAAGGAGCTATAGTTGCTAGTTTTTGTATGTCCTTCATCAATCATCTGTAAACACCTGGACCAAAAGAAGAAGGTTTCGCCAATTTCAAGCCTCACCCACATGTGAAAAGGCTTTGCCATCTCCCATGGGTCTGAGGCTTTGGTCTTTGTATGGTTGTGCCCATGTCAATAAAATATATTCATTCAGGACTTCATTCATTCACGGCTTTCTCTGCTCCCTACAGGGTAGGTTTAGAATGTATAACTGTGCTGGAGGAAGTATGTTACTGAGAACAAACCTTGAGGTTTCAAAACCATGTTCCATTTCCAGTGTGTACTCTCTGCCTGGTGCTTGCAGTTGAAGATGTGAGCCCTCTGTTTCCTGCCCCTGCTGTCATGCCTTCACTTCACTATTGTGGGTTCTAATTCTCTACAATTGTACACCCAAATAAATACTTTTCTCTGCAAGTTGCTGTGGTCATGGTGTCTTATCACAACAATGGAAAATTAATTAAAGCAGCATGTCTTGCCTGACCAGTAGTTATTGTAGCTTGGTGAATTCGCAGCTGAGTAAAGCTGATGATCACTTTTCTCCTCTGGTAGTGTGCATAGAACATTCCAGGACCCCGACATCCAAACCAGTCCCCTTGCAAGAGCTTAATGGCTAAGCTGTCTCTCTAGCCCCCTCTTTAATCACTTTAAGTATCATTTTAAGCATATATAATGTCTTCTGTGTGTTAAGTCTGATGACTTGGCTTAGATGGGGCATCCTCTCTGGATGTTCATCATTTTGAAGCTCAAGCTCATATTAAATGGAACTTCAGCTGTAGTAATTTGTTGTGGTCTGTATGTATCAAAAGAACCTAGCTATAATCCTTGATTTTTCATTAGGGGATTAGTTCTCAGACAATATAGTATGAATTTAAAATCCCAATTCTCCAGGAATTTCCAGAGTCTCTAGTTTTAAATCAGAGGCTGAGGAAAGCACAGAGATTCTTCAAGTTTGGAGCCTCTAGGGCTTCTGGCTGTGTGTTAGGATCTTCCTTATAATCTCTTTCCCGGCATGGGTCTGGCGTCATCCTTCATAGTCCCTGGGCCATACTCCTGCACACCAACAGACCCTGCCTTTGTGCCCCAGCCCTACATCACAGCAGAGTTAGTGCATGACTCTTACTTCCCATTGCACCCATGGAAGTAGCTCTTTCTAACTTTGGAGCAATGTCCCTCAAAGGACAACTGTCTGCCATATTTTACCTAGTCGAATTGTTTTTAAGGGACAGTTTCCACCACCCCAGAAAATTTAGTCTGTTGGAATCTTCCAGATAAAATTTCAAATAAGTGGTTAAAATTTTCATGTCTGGGTGTTACAAGTACTGGCTTAAGAATGGGGACCACACAGATAAAGAAAGAATCTTATAGCTGATCTAGACAATGCAAGCTAGATTCCCCTTTTCAAAGATACAGTTAGTAAGACTATATCTTTTCTAAGCCGTCACATTTGGTTACTAACAGAGCCAAAGATGGAGGCCATGTCCCATAAGATACAGGGTGCTTTCCTGTCTGTGTTTGCTCTTACATGCTTTTATTTCAGTAAGTAGATGCTGGACCTTAGAAGGAGAGAGACCAAATGTCTACTGGAGCAGACGTCAAGGCAAGAGTGGGAGACATTCCCAATGACAGCAATTTAAACCTGACCCAAGAACAATCCTTCAAGAAAGGTAAACTCTGGCTATGAGAAAAATAGGATCTATGTCACTCAACTTCCTCTTTCTCACTACTGCCAATAGCCAACAGAGCTTAACAGTGATAACTCGTAATTACTTCAACTCTCACAGGTAATCTTGAAGGCATACAGAACAGATCAGAGTCACGTGGTTATTATTTGGAAATGAAAACAAAAACATAAAACAACTAAAAAAACTCACCAAAAACAAAGACAAACAAAAAACAAAACAAAACATACATTAAAAACAAGCACACCAACATACCTGAATCACCTCAGAGCAGATTTGAAATAGGAAGCTGAGCTTGGCCTTTGGCCAAGGGCTTAAGGGCTGAGGTTTATTTAAATCATTTCAGAACACTGTCAAGATGGAAAACTTACAACTTTCCCCCCACAAAGACAGCATGATAGACATGTACACCAACTACAAATTCAACTCAATTACATAGCTGAATTCTAGTTAAAGTGAAATCCTAGTTAAAGTAACAAGACAAACTATTTTGTCATTAGAAACAGCCTGTGAGTGAGAGATTATTTTAAGAATGCAAAGAGTCAAATGTTAGCAACTGCCATCATAGTGCATTATGGGAATGCTCGGTTCTCACCAAGGCACCTACAGGCACATTATTTTACAACCTTGAAGTGCAGGAGCCACAGAGACTTTCAAAACTTGGTATTAGTAGAGCATCTGGGATGGAGATACAGGTGACTGATTCCAAAATTAAAAGACATTGGATAAAACCCAAAAATATTAAAATAGGAGTAGGATATTAAGTGTGGTTGAAGTACATGGTACACTCTCAAGCAACAACATAAAGAAGCGTTTCCAGTAAGTTCTGATCTAGCAAGAATGGTCTCCCCAACATGCTGATGGACAAAATGAAAAGATGTTGCTAACAACAAAAAGAATTGTTTTCCCACATGATTTGTATGTAAATGTGTATATATTATCTGTCTGTCTGTCTGTCTGTCTGTCTGTCTGTCTATCATGTTTCCAATCAAAAGCCCAAGAGAAAGAAGAAACATAAAAATGACAGGTGTTGGGCATGGTCACACCTGTAATCCCAGCACTTGGGAGGCTGACATAGTAGGATCTTGAGTTTGAGGCAAGCCTGGTCTGCATAATGAAACCCTGTCTCAACAAACAAATAAATAAAAAACCACAATAATAATTTAGCTATAGAAGCAACACAAAGTACTTGATAAAACCTTTAGAGGCTTAACTGATGATTACAGTTTCCTGTTGGGGCAGAGAAAAGACTTGAGTACGTGGGTAAGCATGGGTATGACAGCCTGGTCACCCTTCTTAATGGAATATGACATGTTAAAACAATGACCAAAATCCCACTGTAACCTTCCGAAGGAGGTCCTAGACTTAAATGTTCCTAGACATAGGCCAAAGGTGCTATCTGTCAATCTTGAGTTTAACAAGTGCATCTCCACATGCGAGGGTGCAGCGCTGGCTATTCTAGCTTCATTTGCTCCCTGGCTGAAGCCTGGGAGCTGCAAACTCAAGAGTTAGACCACAGTGACCACATGTTACCTCTGCCTACCAGTTGAGGTCAAACTAAAGTGATTAGAACAGAGGCAAACTTTTTGCAAGCCTAGATTACAGTATTAAGACAAAGATGATATACAACCTAGCACTAGCCTGCCACTCATACTAGTCCTTCAAAACCGTGAACAAGTTAAATATCTTACTGTTAGTAGTTACACATGACACTGATCTCAGCTGCTTAAACAAGGAATTGGGAGTCATTTTCAACCCCCCCGCCTCCGCAAATACACACAACAATCTCAGCTTCCTGACAGTTCTTGCTCTAAACCTGTTCCTGCCCTTGATTCCAGAGGCCTGAAAACCCTATCTCTGAGGTTGACTTTCCATATATTCTTTAAGGCTCGGCTTCCAAGAAACTAGCTCTCCATCTCAGGAGAATTGATCCTCCCACAGAATAGTGTCTGCACCCTCTATACTTTTGAGAACCAAGCAGAAACAAGAAAGGGTGGGAAGAAAGCAGGCTGACTGTATGACTTTTGTCCCTTTTCCTCCTAGGTTTCTGCTCACTGAGGCATGGTCTGGCCTTCATCTTGCAGCTCTGTAATTTTTCAATTTATACCCAACAAATGAACTTGAGCATTGCCATAACAGCTATGGTTAACACCACAGCACCAGCCAGCCAGCTAAATGCTTCCACAGAAAGACCCTCGGCTGACTCCCAAGACTTCTGGAATGAAACACTACAGGAATCTAAGGTAGTGATATGTTTTGTGAGAGCCTGAACTATTTCTTGGATTCAAGAGCCACCTTAGGAGCAAATGAAATCCCTTTATCATGAGAACGTAAAGCATATTTAAGAAGATTTTTATTTTTTTATTTAGTGTCTATAAGTGAAACCATGGCTAAGTTAGAATGAAACATGGTTAATCATTCAGTAAAAATAAATTCTTCTTCTACAGGGATGAAAATCATCAAAAAACCGGGTTCATAGGTTATGTCGACTTTCTCTTCCACATAATGCTCAGTACCTCAGCTATGATGGTTTTTTCTTCATGAGCTTTTCCTTCTGCCTATATCTAATATATATATATATAATGCATGTATCTATCTATAATATATAAAATATAGTAGTTAACATAGATCCTACATGGATATGAATATTATATGTGTTTGCCTTTCTGAGACAGGAACTCTCTGTCAGTCTTTAAACTCATTATCCTCTTGCTTCAGCCTCTTAAATTCTGGGATTCCAGACACATACCAGCATGGGCTTCCATATTTTAATTGGTCAGTTAATCATGTCAGGGTGATAGGAAAGAGTATGATGTGCATATGCTAGATATTTTTCTTTATGAGACTTTTGGATTGGAAGAGGTTAAAATGAACTGCAAATTACTTTTTATGTGTCAAGTTTCACAGTCAATAGTTAACAGCTGAGCTAAGTATTCGACACAGCTGTAATCTCAGGACTTTGGAGGTGGGAGAAGAGGTCTAAGAGAGCAAGGTCAGCCTGGGCTGTCAAGAACGTGTCTCAAAATCAAAATGAAACGAAACAAGTCACCTATGTAGTAAAACAACAAAGCCCTCCTTTTCACCTAGGCCCCTGTGTATGACTGGACTCCTGAGATCCAGGGAATTCTCCTCAGCTCCCTGAGCTATGGATCATTCTTAGCTCCAATCCCCACTGGCTATGTAGCTGGAGTATTTGGAGCCAAGTACGTGGTTGGAGCAGGTTTGCTAATTTCTTCAATGCTGACTCTCTTCATTCCACTGGCAGCTGATGCTGGAGTAGCCTTGCTCATTGTCCTTCGGGTCATCCAAGGCATAGCTCAGGTATCAAGATCTTTACCGAGTATAACTGGCATATATCTATGTTCTACAATGATGTCATATCTCTAAGAATAGATAATTTCCCCAGGTTATGGTATTAACAGGTCAATACTCAATGTGGGTCAAATGGGCTCCCCCACTGGAAAGGAGTCAACTCACCACCATCGCTGGATCAGGTAACTGGTATCTTAATTTCATTTTATATGCACTGCCAAGAGTACTCTGCAATGAACTATTAAGAGGACAAACATTTTGTATCCTAGTTAACCTGTCTTCATAATTCTTGCTCTTTAGAAATAGACCATATTTTTTTTATCAGAACAGCATGTTAACAGTGTACCAAACATTCCTGGATTTTGTATACATTCATTTCTTTTGCCCTCATAGGAACCTTATAAATCATCTAAGGAGTATTGCACAGTGTAAAGAATCCAAGACACAAATAGACTGATAGTGTCAGATTATACAGTCAGTCCCTGAGTGAAAGAGCAGGGCTTGTATTGTAGTAGTCTGGATTGAAACCCAAACCCTCAGGCACCATCACTCAACTCTGTAGGAAGCATGTTGATTCCCAAGACGAGCTCTCATTCCCATAATGTCCTTGTATCTTTTGCTCAGGGTCAATGCTTGGGACCTTCCTTGTCCTCATTTCTGGTGGTCTTCTTTGCCAGACCCTTGGATGGCCTTATATTTTCTATATCTTTGGTAAGTTTATTCTTTTAAAAATCTCAAAATGTTTATGACAAACAATGCTGGGCATCTGTGATGAGCACGTCTCTGGTTATCCAAATTCTAACAGGTAGCATTTATGTAAAGTTGACAATGTTAAAAATTAGCCGTGGTGTAAATCTTGTTGATTTATTAAGAGCATGTAAATTTTAACATTCTGGGAGCTGGAAAGCAGTTAGGAGTATTTGCTGCCTTTGCAGAGGACCCAGGTTTAGCTCAAAGCACTGACAAATCGGCCTATAACCATCTGTAACTCCAATTCTAGGGGATCCCATGCCCTCTTCTGACCTCCACAGGAGCACACATACATATGCAGACAAAACACTCAAATAAAACAAATAAATCTGAAAAAAGAAACTAGTACGAATTTTAGTAGCCTGAATATATAGTTGAGTAATCTTATGACTTTAAGACTTTCGGCATATGCCTATCTGGGCTAGGGAGATGGCTTAGTTGGCAAAGTGATTGCCTTAAGGAACTGAGGCTGATTTCCAGAACCCACAGGGGAAAAATGGGTATCATGGTGCACATCTTTAATCTTAGACTGGGGAGGCAGAAACAGGCAGGACCCTGAACTTGCTGCCAGCCAGTCCATCCTGCTGGGTAAATTCCAGCCCATTGAGAAATGTTGTGATTAAAAACTAGGTGTGTGGCACCTGAGTGAATACATTCAAGTTTGATGAGCCACGCAGTACTGATGATGTTGAGTTCTCCAACACTGTTATAAGGATGCATTAGATAAATTTTCTTTGATAATGACTAATTTCATTCTACATGTAGGAATTATCTAGGTAATCGATTGCACATAAAACAAGAATGATAAACCAAAGGCAGGAAAAGGCTCAGTGAAGAAGAAAACTTTGCAGTCCAACCAAAAGGAGGAGTGCCGACTGGTGCTCAGTAGTGAGGGGGAAGTGCACCAAGAGCTTGTGTGGATCTTCAGTGGAACAGTGTGTTTGTGTGTGTGTTCAAAGCCTATGTGAACACACTGGAATAACTGGTGACCTCTAATCTCTGTTTTTCTCATCTGCCTTGGATCATGGAGTCATTGGATTACATTTCTCCCTAGAGGACAATGAAGAAAGGCAACTTCCCTAGGGCACAGGCAAAAGCAAATTACATGAACAAGATCTAAGTCAAGTGATGGCAAAGTACCCTCCACGACAGTGTCATTCAAGGGGGGTGCAATGTAGGAGATGGGGATGAGGTATCGGTGACAGCCATAGGAATCATCAGACTGGAGGAAAACACCGATACAATGCTGGCTGGGTCTTCTATCACAGGTGGAATTGGCTGTGTCTGTTGCCTGATCTGGTTTCCTCTGGTATATGATGACCCAGAGAATCACCCCTTTATCAGCACTGGTGAGAAGAGATACATTGTGTGTTCACTGGCTCAAGAGGTACATTGAGGAATTTCCCTGTCGTTTTCCCTGTCCCTGGGTGTCTCAGAGGTAGTTGTAGCAGGGGAGCTCTTATTTTGTAACGGGGGAGGGGGATAATCACGTGTGTTTTCTTTTAGGATTGCTCGCCAGGCTGGTCACTTCCCATTAAAGCTATGGTCAAGTCTCTCCCACTTTGGGCCATTGTAGTGTCTTATTTATGCCAATACTGGCTGTTAACCACAATAATGGCATACACACCCACATATATCAGCTCTGTGCTTCAAGCAAACCTCAGAGACGTGAGTACAAAGGTGTACCCAGTTTTTGTGTTTCTCTGTATGATCTCACTTGTGGCCACAAGATGAGGAATTAGGCCAGGGCCCCTTATAGGAAATGCAACCAGTTAACTTGGATTCACACTGACCCCAGTGTGGTCCACTGCTTACTTGAGCAGAGGTATAATTCAAAATCAGGTCATGGTGATAAACTTTTAAAAGTCCCACACAAATTTATACTTAATGAAGTCAGCATTTATAAACAAGGTATTCTATCGGCAACATAAAATTTTTAAAAAGATTAATAAGTTCTGTTGCAAATAAGATGTTATTAGACTTCTTTCCTTCCCTCTCTCCCTTCCTCCCTGTGTCCCTCTGTCCCAGGTATGGTAGTGCATGCTTTTAATCCCAACACTCAGGAGGAAGAGACTGTAAGATATGTAAGAGTTTGAGCCAGCCTGCTCTACATAGTGAATCCTGGGTCAGCTAGGACCACATAGTAAGTTCTTCTGTCAAAAAAATGTTAAGAAGATTGAGTTATGTACATATTTTTCCCTCAAGAATTAAAATTAAATGAGAATTCTAGTAACAAAGAATTTAATTTACACTGAAAGTGATGTGTGTATAATGCAAAGCAATAGACATGGACCATCCATCAGGATTAGTCAGGGCCATGATGGGAACGTGCTGAGGATGCTTGTACTTACCGAGCTCCAATCTCCAGAGTGGAATCCTGTCGGCCCTGCCCTTCGTGTTTGGCTGTGTCTGCATTATCCTTGGGGGTCTGTTGGCAGATTTTCTCCTCTCCAGGAAAATCCTCCAACTAGTAACCATCAGGAAGCTATTCACTGCCATAGGTAAGAGCCAAGCTGGCTACTAGGTGGCTGTGGGAGCTCAGGAGCCTCTTTTTTATGTCTTTTGTTCTGCTGCAGGGGTCCTTGTCTCATCTGGGATCCTCGTGCCCCTGCCTTGGGTCAGATCCAGCCGCATCACCACAATGGCCTTCTTGGTTCTATCATCTACCTTCTGCAGCCTCTGTGATTCAGGAGCCCTCATTAATTTCTTAGATATTGCTCCACGGTAGGGATCTCTTTGTCTTATCTTCATAGAATCTCAGTTCAGGTCCAGGATCCTACCTGCCCTTGCTCTGATGCAAAGGTAAAAAATAGTGTAAGCATCAGGTCACAGGAGACAGTAACATCAGTGGTACATCTCTGTAATTCCTGGAAGGGGCCCTGAGCTAGTTGGCTATTGTGAATGCAGTCTTTTCTAGCTGAAACAAGAGCAGTCTGTAGCTATGCAGACACCTCACCTGTCAGTCTCTGCTGAAGAATGCAGCGGAGATTGGTTACTGGAAGGTCTCAAGAGATCCTGTCATGGAGGCCTATGTGATACTTAAATAGAGGGGGAGGGGGTTGGGAGAAATGACTCAGATGGTAAATTCTTGTCAGTCAATCATGTGGACTTGACTTCCACATTACAAGAACTAAAATAAAATAAGACAGGTATGCACTTGTAATCTCAGTGCTGAGAAGGTGGAGAAAGACAGAGATCCCTGTTAATTGCTTATAACTGACCTAGCCTACTTGACAATTTCCAAGCTAGTGAGAGACACTATTTCCAGAAGAAGTGTGGACAACACCTGAAGAATGATACTCAAGGATATCCTCTGGCCTCCACATGTAGCTCACACATATATAAGCATAGCAGCACACATGTGGATACATGTACATCTGCAAAAATAAAAGGAAAAATACACAGAACCAGAGGAAAAATCATTATCACTGGTGCAAGTCAGACTAGAGAGAACTGAGACCAGATATAAAGCTTCCAGGATCCAACTCAGGCAACAGGACATACTTCAGCTTTACACGATGGGCCACTGAGACATGTGGGAGATAGGCTGGTCTCAGAAAATAACCATCTCATCACTTGAAGGTCTTTGATGCAGAAGGATGAGACTTTTGTATCCCTAAACAAGGCTATAAGATTAGGCTCAATAGTAAGAACCAATAAGTTGATATGTTAGCACAGATTACCCCTGAAGGGTTGAGCCTGTAGCTTAGGAGTACAAGTATCATTAATGAGCATATTTTGTTCAAGTTTAATATACAGCATCTTAAGTGTTGTACTTTAAAAATGCTGCCAAGAGAAGTCACACCATACAACAGGACTCACATAGGAGGTTTATTGGAAGAGGAGAGAGAAGGGGAAGAAAAAAGGGCAGAGATGGCAACAGAGACTGGTTCCTGGGGACAAGTGCGGTAGAAGAGAAAGAGAGAGAGAGAAGAGAGAAAGATGGGAGATGGGCAGGACCCTTTTAAAAGGGAACATGGTAAATGTGCACAGGAGGTGCTCTTAGTGTCTGTAGCTGAGGGCATATCCTGTCAGAACCCCAAGGGCAGGCCAGTACAGATGCCAGAATACTAGCACTAATCATCCCCAGAGATAAACATAGAGATACTACAGTGCAATGAAACCAAGATGAGTCCTTTGCTTACATGAAACTTTCCCCTTTCCAGGTATGCTGGCTTTCTCAAAGGACTTTTGCAAGTCTTTTCTCATATATCGGGAGGCATAGCGCCCACTGTTGCTGGATTTTTCATTGGTCAGGTAAGATTAAACATTGTAAGGAATATTAATAAAATAAAATGAATGGTGATAGTTAGTAGAAGTCAGTCTAAGGTGCTGTTAGTTCCTCAGTGAGAAAGACATCAAACCTCATGAGTCTGGAGCCCTAACTTCATTCCCAGCTCAATTTATGTAGAGAAATGCCAGATTCCATTTATGTGCTGTGCGAGAATGCTCAGTGCTGTGGGTTATGGTTTGTGAACTTTTACAAGATGAGATTCTCATGTTAAAATCTCACATTTCCAGTAATATTCATGATATTTCTCCTGCTATAGCATGATCATCTACTGTGGTTTATCTCAAACTGAGGGCTCTCAAGATTTATGAGCCATTTTCAGCATTAACATCTTGAATGCTCTAGGAAAACCAGGATGAAGTAGTTTTCTGTCTAGGAAACTAACCAGTCTTTGGAAATTGATGAGCTACATGTTCAGTGAATGACCGAGTGGAAAGCTCCCTGCACCTCACACCTATGCTCTGCCATTCATTAGATTCTTTGCTTGTTGGTCAGAGAAAAAGTGTTCCTGACCAGTGTGGCTGGGATGCTGGTTTTCACTCTGAAGCCTTCAGTCCTGGAGATGCACTTTGATGTAGTTAAAATAAACAAGGCAATGTGGTACATGTCTGTAATCCCAGCACTTGAGAGGCCAGTTTGGTCTACATTGTCAGACCCTAAAAGAAGAAAAAAGTAATGATAAACAAATAATTAAACCTGATGATCTGAATATTCCCTAAGAATTATATAGATACACATTATACATGGAAAGGAAGTCTGTGAAATTTATGAAAATCTCACTTCTAACTTTCCATGACTCTGTATCAGTAACTCAGAAAAAGATAGATTAACAAAGAAAGGATTTTTTGTTTCAATGAAATCAAGTCACCTCTTGCCTTTGAAGCTTCCATTACTTTCTAGTTTCTGAAAACACAGTTAGGGATTGGTTAAAAGAAAATTTTCACATAGACCTTGTTTCTCTTGTCAATTGTTTTAGCAAACAAACACACAAAGGTCCCCCAACCCTATCCCATGAAACCTACATTGAAAAAAATTGACAGAAAACTAAGTTATAGACATATTGGTGTCCAGTGCTATAAGAGAGGAAGAGAGTGGGAAACAAGACTGATTTATCAGTGTGTTCAAAGAAGGAATCTTTGAAAAGGTGACATTAAGCAAGTACTGGAAAGAAGTGAGGGAGTGAGTAAAAGGGTGCCTGATGGGAAATGCTGTCTAGCAGGGGGAAGAGAGGTTGTGATGGCCTGATGTTAGACATGCAGCGGGATAGATGGGAGTCATGAAGGCTGGGTTGAGTTAGAAGGATCATCAAGATATATAACCACACCTTTTCTGAACCAGGGTATAAGAAATAAGCCACCATTATTTACAAGTAGTTTCCTGCTTTTAGGATCCAGAGTTTGGCTGGAGAAATGTTTTCTTGCTGGCAGCTGCTATTGATGTAGTAGGCCTGCTCTTCTACCTCATCTTTGGCAGAGCAGAGGTGCAGGACTGGGCTAAGGAACAGACATTCACCCATCTCTGAGAGAAGTAAGCAATGTGTGAAATCCTGACACTTCCCTTCAGAGATCTGCTTTTGTGCTTTGGCTGTTGAACTCATCTAACTGGAAAGGTACTTCATTTCCAGGGTCATCTCAGAGATCCTGGATATGTGACACTGAAGGTAATTTCCTTCCACAACTTGAAGTATCACAAGGGAAGGAAAGACTGGTTGTTTATAACAGTATGCTCCTGGAAGCACAGGTGTGTACGACTTTCTACGAATCCTCTATACTTTTCCCTGTTGCCATGGCGAAAGCATCAAGGGATGGAAGACAATTTGCCACAAAAGCTAAAGAGGAGGCCAGAAGTACAGGAGTGATGAGTTGGAGCCTTGGGAGAGTGGTGCCATGAACTCTGTAAGATGTCAACAAAGGAGACTGGCTGCCTGGAAAACAAAGTCTTCATGCTGAAGTCCTGAGGCCAAAGTGAAAAGTTGCTCTCGTGTTAAGTGAGGAGGTTAAAGATCCATTGTAAGTCTTGCTGCATGCAGGGTTTCCAACTGAAAACAACCAGACTAAACAACAATGAAGAGTAAATCTATCATGCAAAAAAGAATGAACTTTCTTCAACTAATACAAGAAAGATGGGTAACAGAATGCAACTATTCCAGACAATTTTCTGTCTGTGAATCTTGGATTTGGATCAAAACCACTTCTAGAGTATAAACACCACTCAGACACTCTCGGGAGTCAACTCTTCCGTGGCTGCCTTCTTTCTTTCCACTCTGACCTGGGCGCCTCATCTGGGTGTAGATCTGTGCAAATCCCTCATATCTTAGTGAGCAGACATTGCTTTGTGTGTCTCTGATCTCACATACTGCTTTATAGCATCAGTCTTATAATGGCTGCTCTTTGCCTGCTTCTTTGACTCTTGTGGTTTCAGCCACTGTTCAGTGGGTCTCTTTCAATGTAGAATGTCTTCTAACAATGTCGGCAAGACCCATGCTTGCTCCAGCTCATTCCAAATGTTTAGAGAGTGTGCATGGTGTTTCTTTGCATTAAGAATATGCATGGGTGACTCAGTGACTACAAAAGAGAACATAAACATTCAAACACTAAATGAATATTAATGAATATATTAGTGTGTATGGAGACATGGAGACATCACAGTCACACATAGCTTGAAATAGCTCACTGTCACAGGAGGATAGATAGCTTTAATAAAAGTATCACAAGTAAGTGTGCAGTAATAGCTATGGAATATGGAATAAGTAGGGGCATATCTTACTAGAATAAGTTAGTGGCATGCACTAATTTAATGGTGAGTGGTGGCCATCACCATTACACAGCATGAACTGAGCTATATCCGAGTGTCACCTGATATAGGAGGCCGATGGAACAAATGTTAGGAAAAGCCTCTGGGAAAATCCATAGCATATGCAAAGGTTTGGTGGCAAGATAGAAAAGTCAGGAGTGAATGAGAGGAGAATTGGCTGGGAGGTGATTAAAGAAGAAAAATCAGGAGTGAATGAGATCAAACTGGACTGTGAGGAGGTTATAGAATTATTGAAGTCAAGAACACCCAGGGCATTGTGGACCTAGTGAAGAGTATTGGTCTTTATGGTAAAATCAGTGGTACTATTTTAATGGAAAGGGACATAACCAAGATTCGGAGTTTTCAGTGGCCACACTACATAAAAACTTAGTTATGAAGTGCCAGTGCAGTCCAGGAGAGTGGTGGACTGTGGCATGGGTGGAAGGGGTAGTGGGAGATAAGCAGGTGGAAAGACTGGCCACACTCTAGTACTCTATGAGAGAGTGGATGATGCCTACAGCAACAGCTGCATTTTGGTTTGTTATTAGATCAATGGGGATGCTTCTCACAATGATAGCAACATACACAATGAAGACCACAAATAGAAAAATGGACACAAAGGTCTGGATGGCACATGTGAGATTGCCTGGGTGGATAGTATGACATAAAAAGAGAAAGCCTATGACTAATCCTTCAAGATTTTTGGTGTTTAATGATCAGCTAGAGGATCATTAGAGAAAGAAGGGGTAAAGGACAGAGAGAGCTAGGGAGGCAGGAAGGAAGAAAAGTATATAAGGCAAACCAAGAGAAGACTCTTAAGATGGAGAAGTGGAAAGAATGAATTACAAAAAGAGGTGATCAGTCAGCATGGCCTCAATCTGCAGAGCTCTGGCTGATGAGGAGAAAGCAGCATGAGAAGAAAGGGGTCCACTCCTGAGACACTGGAGGCAAAAGAGTGGGATGGAGAAAGGTGAAGGATCCAGGATCAAAGAAAGTTCGGAGTAAGCTTGTTGAAGACTCCTGAGGCAGAGCTAGTTGAGAAATCAAAGCAGCAGAAGCAAAAGCTTCAAGCATGAATGGAAAGTTCCTGGGAGAGGGATGAGGAAGGACTGTGGTAACCTAAAGCCCAGCTAGGAAGATTACAAGAATGGACCTTGCATAAAAGTGCAAAGTCATGCCCATTTTTTGCTAGTGAGAAATTCAAGGAGGGTTTCATCTAAGTATCTTTCTTTCTGCTTGAAAGCACAGAGAGTGTGTGAGTTGTTTGTGGGTAAGACAAAGGCTACAGTGTTGTTGCTAGACAGAAGAGAGACATGTCTGGTGGCCCTGCTGGTGGCCAGGCAAAGTCTTTGCTTTTCATACAACCCCTGGAACAACCACACATTCTTCCTCTTCTGGTACATTCAGGAACCAGGGCATGCATTACTTGACACATCTTCAGCAAAGTGTGGGATGCCATTTACAGTAAGTACTAATAAATGTTTGATAAGTCACTTATTGGAGAAGCTCTGGAGTGGTATAGAAGAGCAGTTAGGGACACAAAAAGAATAGGAAAATGTCCTAGTTTCTGCTCTGTTGTTGTGACAAGTACCATGACCAAAGCAACTTATGGGAGGAAGAATTTATTTGACTTACACATCTGGTCATAGTCCATCATTGAGGGGAGTTAGGGCAGGAACTCAAGCAGGGACTTGAAGCAGAAGCCATTTGCCAGCTCACCCACAGGCTCATATTTTGCTGGCTTTCTTACACAGCCTAGGACTATGCCCTTCAGGGTGGTGCTGCCCACCATGGGCTGGACTGTCTTGCACCAGCTAACAATTAATCAATCCTCCATAGACATGCCCATAGACCAATCTGATCTGACTAAAACTGTGATTGAGACTCCTTCTCAGGGAACTAACTGTAGGCTATGTCAAGTTGACAGTTAAAGCTAATGGGGACAAGAAAAAAGAAACCAATTTTGCCACAAATGTATATGCCTTGCTTTCAGAGCCTATGTATTCTTTTTCTTATGGTGTTACAATATCAGAAACATGGGTGTGATACCTTCATTCTCTTTGGCAATCCCGGAACTGATCCAGGTCTCATTTAAGATACAGTCAACTATCCAAGGTTTTCATTAATCTATCTCTTTTCCTTCTCATAACTCTTTTATTTTTATTTTTTGTTTCTTTTTTGAGATGCCTGTGCACTGCAAGCATGCAGTGCCTGGTGGGGCCAGAAAAGGGCATTGGATCCCTTGAAACTGGGATTAATCATGGTTTGTTAGCTGCCATGTGGGTTCTGGGAATCAAACCCAGGTCTTCTGGGAGAGCAGTCTTCTTAACTGCTGAGTCATCTTTCCACTCCCTATTTTTTGTTTGTTAATCAATCATTTTTAGCTGCTGCACATAACAAGTTTGACTGTTCCCTGGGTCCATCAAAGAGGAAGCTGATTTTTCTTCTTTATTTTCTTTAAAAAATGGGCCATCCTGAAAGAATAAAAACAATATAAGATTGTTTTCAAATGTTTGTACATTTACAACAAAGAGGAATGAATGTTGAAAACTGAAAACGAGATGAACAAAACCAAAAGCAAACCAAAAGGCCTTTCATGAAGTTGTGACGTTTCATCTTATGCTTGTGTATTGGGTCACAGAGGAAGACAGATAAGTAAATCCACCTTTAACCTCAGACATATAGCTTGTTACATATAATGCACAGTGCAGAAGAAGCACACAGACAAAAGTGGATGACACTGGCCCCTCAGGACCCTCATGCCACCCCCTTCTGGTGTTGGGGACAGCGGTCTCAAGCAGGTCCTCTTCCTTTCAATAAGGACTCTGACCTCATGCTTCACAGGTGCTCACTTTTCTATTAACTTTTGTAGAACAAGGAAAGCAAAACACACAGAAATGTCACTGGAGAGTCCTTGCACCCAGAGAATGTGCCAACACCTCAAAGAAATTAGTGTAGGCCAGGAGATTTTTCTCAAGCTGTCTCTCGTCCAGTGACAGGTTATCCATGCCACTTTCCCTTGTCTCCCCTAAGGACATAAAAATAAATATGATTGCCAGGTGCCAACTTGCCTCCTTCCTCTGCCCTGCCCTGGGAAACCTATGTGAAACATCTGAATAACTAGTGTTTTGCTAGGTCCAGTCTTAGGGCATGAAGATGCTCAATTCTGTGTTGGGGCTGCACCCTGGAAGCAAAACAAGCAAAGAAAAATCCACTGTGCCATAGAGTTGGCACTCCTGTAGTTTGATATTGCTGCACTCAAAACAGCACATTACACTTATAGTACTAATAGCTACATTATCCATGTCCCCAAATTTCAGCTTTTAATGAACTAATTTGTTACTAAGAAAATGAATACAAAACCTTTCTTGGTGATTTTGCACCAAGCACACACTCCAACTTCTGTGTCCCTGCACTGCAACACCATCTGCCCTTTTTGTTTGTTTGTTTGTTTGTTTGTTTTTTACGAGACAGGGTTTCTCTGTATTGTTTTGGAGGCTGTCGGTCCAGCCCGGCCTCGAACTCACAGAGATCCGCCTGCCTCTGCCTCCCAAGTGCTGGGATTAAAGGCGTGCGCCACCAACGCCCCGCCTAAAAATGTGTAGCCCAGGCTGGCCTCCAACTCATGATCCTCCTGCCTCTGCCTCCTTCAGCAAATCCTACCGGCGTGCGCCACCACAACCGGCCCATCTGCCCTTTCTAAGAATCATTTTTGCCACCTATAGAGGTTACTATCTGATGGACTGCAGTAAATCTGGCCTTTTACTGTTAACAGGCATCCAGATCAACCCCTCTGCACCTCCACACCCTGTCTAGAATCTGCAGAGAGGTTGTGGCCAAGATGCTAAACCAGGGTGTCTACCCAGGGTCCTAACAGGAAAACAATGGACAAGGCACATGCTGCTCTTTTTTGTTTGTAATGTGGTTGTGTTTTTCTGCTTGGTTGGCTTGATTTTGCTTTGGTTATTTTGAGACAGGATTTCACTGTGTAACCCTAACTGTCCCAGAATTCAATATATAGTCTGGCCTCAAACTCACAGAGATCTGCCTGTTTAATGAATGTTAGGACTAAAAGTGTGTGTCTCCATGTCCAACCCTGTTCTAGTCTTTTAAAAATTGATTTTTCCTTTTTTAACTTAAAATTTCATTGTATATATTCAATGTATGTAGCACACAAGAACAGCTGCATACAAGCAGATAACGTACATCGAGTGTATTCCTCCCACACCTGTGTCCCCTTTACTTCCTCCGCCCCATCCCCAGTTTGTCTCTATTGTTTCCCTAGACTGTTTTGCTTTGATTTCAATGCCCTACATATGTACATGATGATATATATCTACATGCCTTTCTTTTCTATTTATACTCTTTTAGGTGTGTGTGTGTGTGTGTGTGAAACTTTATATGTCAACTATTTATTGCCTACTACTTGTCTGTCAGCATCTTATCAGCTGGTCATCACCATGCACCCTATTCAGGGAGAGGAAATGCTGCAGGTATTTGAAAACCTCTCAACGGCATTGTCACTGCATTGAGTCCACAGATTTTATCTAAGAAGTTCACTTCTGTTCTCCTAATATGAGGTGGCCAATCTATGACAATATGGTTCTTAGAAATTCATGGCCAGTCCTTGTATAACAGGCCAAATTGTGGTGTTACAAGGGTGACCTTCAGTGTAGTCTGGGGCACACATAGCAGATCTATAACCCCAAGTGAAGCCCGGGGAGAGTTGAGGTGGAGAAAGGCTTTGCAACAATTTAAAAATATCTGTTTTTACCTGAAGGTCAGAACAATATAAATATACCCATCCTTAATTCTGGTCATGGTGACACAGGCATGTGACTCAAGCACTTAGAAATGGAGGTGGGAAAGTCATGAGTTCCAGGCCAGCTTGGGCTATATAGAAAGTTCAATGCCAGTCTAAGCTGTACTTATTGAATCAAGACATATACACACAAACTAACAAAAACAAAGCAAAACAAAGCAAACCAAGCCAAATTAACAAAGAAAAACACCAAAAAAGAGATGCTTTCTTCTGCCCCTTGTACTCAGTTTTATACCAAGGGTGTAAGCAGAACAATTAGAGAAGAAAAAAAAATGAAGGCTATCCAGACTGGAACCAGAAGCAAAATTGCCAATATTTGTAGATAACAAAATCATTTATGGAGAAATCAGACAGTATCCACTAAAAACTAGTATGATAAGCTTAATGAAACTGTAGAGCATTACAAAAGTAATTGAATTTCTATTGTATTTGATACAAAAATTAAAACGAAGAAATTCCATTTAAAATAGAATTTAAAAACCATGCACAGTGATGTACTTTTGTAATGTTAGGGCCTGAGAGGTGGGGGTGGACGTTCTGGACTAGTGTGCCTGGGCTCCAGAGGGAGTTCCAAGTCCATCCAACATCACCACACATTGGTTCCAACTCTTACACAGGAGTTCTTTAGTAACATGCTCAAACCAAAATAGATATAATAAAAGTGCATTAATACCAACAACAGAAAGGACCAATGAGCAGTGGTTCATACATAACCTCAGCTCACAAGCAATTGTACTCCCTTCAAAGCAAACAGCCAGGGGGAAAACAAAACCCTCTCTGATGCCATGTTTTTGTCTTCTTTTGGGGAAGAATGTCTGTCTATTCTAACTCTTCCTATTTCTTCACATCGTATTTTCTTTTTTTTTCTACAGATAAAAGAGACAACAGAAAATTAAATGGGGCTCAATGGTTTGTAAGCACAAGGACCTGAGTTGGATTCCCTGAATCCATGTAAAAAATACAGCGTAGGGGTATGTAGTTGTAACTTGAGCACTGGGAGAGCAAAGGCAGGAAGATCACTGGGCCTGATTGGGCAATAAGAGACTTCGTCTAAAAAGAGGTGGGCAGCATGAAGATGAGATCTGAAGCCGTCTTTGGCTTACACACGCACGCACGCGCGCGCGCGCGCGCGCACACACACACACACACACACACACGAGTCCAGACACACATGTATACTCTCTTCCTCCATGCCTAAAAAAAAAGTGAGTATCTTTTTGTCTCTCCATTGGTGAAACACTAACAACTGTTGGCATTCATCACAGCTGGGTCTCTTGATTCAATGGGCTTAAAAACAGGGCTATTTCACAACTGCCAGTTCTAATGCAGGAGTCATTTCTTCTCCCGTTTATTCACCACCCACAATTTATATGAAACACAAACTACCAGTTTCTCTTTGAGCGCTCCTTAACTGACCTTCTGTCTGCTATCATAGCTATGCCTAAACCAGCAGTAAGTTTTAGATCCTATGTAATTTAAGTCCTGGACGGCACTTTCCAGAGACATCACTTCCTTTGACTCAACACACCACATTTTCTGACCCTTATTCTACTTTCCTGAAGGCATGTTTTCATCTCTTTCGCTTTTTCCTTCACTGTTCATTTTTGAGAAGCTCAGTTTCCCAAATTTACTATAGCAATTCTGATGTCTCCCCAGAACGCCAGGCCAGGGGGCGCTGTGGTATAAGTGATCTTGTTTCAGATTTCCTCCCCCACAACCCCCACAACCTCCGCCCCGGGCGCGCCCACATCTTAATGCTCTCTTAGCGATTCATCATCAGCGGCTCTCTTCCCTGCAATCTTCAGTTTCAAAACTTTCCTTAATCTGAAAATGTCTCACCTTCACAGTCTTGTGTTTTTTATTTCTTTAGCCCAGTCCTGAATTTCTCCTTTAGCAAATATAAGATAGAAAGTAAGGCATGTCACATTAATGCCTGCCATCAAGAAGAAGATTTTATGCCAAGCATTTTCCGGATCCTGAGAGATTAAAATACAAAGTGTGAGTGACTGATCTTGATTTTTGTACCTTATGACATTTAAAATATAGTATTAAAATAATATGTAGACTCCACACAGACCACTTAAGCATTCAAAGCACTTACAAATAACCAAGAAAATCATCATTTCACCCAACAAGTAATTGCTTTTATCATTTATTTATATTTATTTACTTACTTACGTTTCTCTGTGTAGCCCTGGCTTTCCTAGAACTCACTGTGCTGACCAGGATGGCCTTGAACTCAGAGATCCACCTGCCTCTGCCTCCGAAGTGTTGGGATTAAAGGGAGGCCCCACCACCAACATATATACCGCTTTCTTATAAATAAATAATGCGTCATTTTTCTCATAATTTATTATTAAAAACTTCTTGTCTCTTTCAAGGTATCTTATTCAAACAACAGTGTGTTATATCAGATAAGCATGTTTAGATAGGTACGCAGAAAATGTGTGTTTTTAAGTGCAGTGAGCAGATTTAATCCATTTCTACACACTATGGCTATTATTTTTAGCCATACTATGTACAGTAATTATTTTGCTACAATGCCTCTCATATCATTTTCTATTTCTTATGACAGTGTTCTGATAACATTAAGAGAAAACATTCCAGGTTTTCTTCTTCAAGACCTTCATGGTGTTGGGTGTGGTGGCACACTCTTGTCTTGGCATTCAGGAGGCAGAGGCAGGATTT